CATTCGGTGGGTTTTTTTTATTCATTTGATATTTCTCTTCTCTCAGCTTTTTTTCTTTTTTTTATCCAGAAGAATAAATTTCTTTTGATTAATTTTGTTAACTTTTTTCGGAGAAGAATTTAAAATTTCTTTTAATTAATTTTACTTCTTTTTTTGAAAAAGAATTTAATTTTTTCACTAATCACTTTCATTTTCAAGTTGCACAGTGTTTATAGTAGATCTGTGTGAATTTTTATTTTTATTTCTTTTTTCAGAAAGGAATTTAATTTCTTCGACAATCATTTTTATTTTCAAATTATACAGTATTTATAGTAGATCTTATTTTATGAATTACTTTACAATCATAAAATTATTTGCTATCACTAAATTTAGACATTGGTATGTATTTTTGCAATTATCGATAGAATTAAAAACTCGAATTTTAACAAATTTTCAATCATTTTTGTGTCGATTGAATGTTTTGTAAAATTTGTTTGTGATATAAATTTCAGAATTTTCCCGAGATATCGTTTAATTGTATTTTGTCTTCAGTACTTCACTACTAAACAAATAAAATGATAGAAACAAAAAAAAAGCAAGAAAAAAAAATTTTATCAAATAGATGGAAAATGAACGATTCATAAAAAACAAACGACCATTCAGTAAAAATGATTTTACGTTTTTCGGAAAACTTGATAAATGAATCCAGAAATTTTCTTTCTATTTTTGCTAAAATTTTATCTTTTCTTATTCCTATCCCAATAATTTAATTAACAATTTTTAGTAATTGAATAACTATTTCATGTATATCGGTCAATTTATTCAAGTAATGCTTGGCCATAATCAAGCGTAATTCGAACAATACTTTAATTTAGAGCCAGAAGATGTTGTAAATAATTAGCCAAGAGATCATTATTTTGTGCTAATAATATTGCAAGTTATATTCAAATAATTGGTATCTCTTTGTATATATGCGGAAAAGTACATTTTGCATGTGCATTCCGCATATTTATTTACTGTTTCCTGAAACTTTGCAAACGTTTGAAATGTTTCACATAAATATAATTAATATATGCGTACGTGAAATGCTAGAAAAAAAGAAAAGGAAAAAAAAGCATATGGGTCGAGAAATAGACTTCAGACTTTTTTTTTTGGTTTTTTTTACACAGCAAATTTTATGAAAGACTGATGAAGGAGGAAAAAATTGGTAAGGAAGCAGGTGGTAGTTACCGTAGTTGCTACTTAGTAGAAGAGAAGTTAGACTTATAATCTCGTTCAAAGCGAAAGGATGAAAGTGTGAAGAGAAGGAGAGGGAGAGAAAGAAAGAGAGAGAGAGAGAGATGAGAAAAATGAAATGACTATATCTAACAAAGTTGACGAAATAATTAAATGGAAGCCTTTGTAAATTTAAAACATTAAAAAAGTGAGGAAAAAAACTAAGAAATGAAAATGGAAAAAAAATATTATAATCTGGCTGTAAGATTAAATAATTAGAAAAAAAAATCTGTAGGATTAGAATAGGAGAAATTCGATTATTTCTCAAATATCCTCCTAATCTTATCATAAGCGGTTTTCCCCTTTTGAAAGTTAAGTTTAAAAATTTGGAATATTTTGAAATAGCTGGTAAAATTAATTCGCCCCATCATATACGCAATTCATCGCTTTGTATTCCTTTATCAACAATATACAATGATAATGACAATGATGATACAAAGGAAGAGGAGGGGGAGGAAGAGGAGGAGGAGGAGGAGGAGGAAGGGCAAGAGGTGGAGGAGGAGGAGAAGGAGGAAGAGTGGAGGAAGAGGTGGAGGATAAAGAGGTGGATTGGATGAGAAAAGGATCAGTTTAAAAGCTTTGTTGCATGGAAAGTAACTATAGAAAAGAGTAGCAGATAGCAGCTTGCTTTCATCTTTCTTCTTTTCTAGCTTCATCATATATCGTTTACTTTCAAGAAAGAGATACTTCCATTCCCGAATTCCTCCCTTATCGTTTCCTACCTACAGACAAATACAGCACACACACACACACACACACACACACACACACACACACACACACACACACACACACACACACACGTACACACATACATACACACGTATATACACACCGCACTTATATACATACCACACGTACACATCACACGTACATACACATCACACTCACACACGCATCACACGTACACACGCACCACACGTATACACATACACACGTACATACACATCACATGTACACACACATCATACGTACAGATATATCACACTTGTACACACATCATATGCATATATACATTACAAGTACACACACATCACACGTGCATATAAAGGTATAGTATTAATCCTCGAACGTAACCACCACACGTATACACATACACCACATATATATATATATATATATACACATCACACGTATATACACATACCACACGTATACATGCACACATATACACAGAGATATATATATATACACATTGAGACACACGCACACACCCACACAGACACACTTTATGGACCATCTGCGGGGTGAGGACAGGAGGCTATCCTCTCTTTATTCTCCCTCATTATTATTTTCATGTGATCTGCGCAACTGTTACTACTACTCCTACCACTACTCCAGCTACTATTCTTTGTTTAGGCTTTGTTTGGAGGGTTTAGGAGAAGAGGGAAAGCCTCGAGAAGTAAAAAGCATTGAGTGATGATAGTTGGTTGGTATAGTATAGTATAAAAATAGTTTAGAATAGGATAGTATAGCAGTAGCAGTAGCAGTAGCAGTAATAGTAAGAGATTTCATTGTGTTGTTTGTTTCCGTTTTGTGACGATTGCATTTTCTTCCTTTGTCAAGAAGTCATTTATAGAAGAAACATCCAATAAGGGGATCGATTTAGTTGAATATTCATCCTCTATACCATACCTATCATTTTTGTTTATATTAAAACATATACTATACCTGAAAATGTTTATGTTAATCATTTATAATTGAATCGGAATGTATGATTTTAAATCATATGTGAGATTTATGGTTTGATAGTTTCGTAATTTGTTAGGTTCTATGTTACACATTTAAGATTTACGTTGATAGTTCATTAGGATATATATGTTACACGTTTATGATTTACGTCAGTAATTCATAATTTGTTAGGATATACGTTACACGCTTAAAATTTACGTTTGATAATTCATAATTTGTTAGGATATATGTTACACGTTTATGATTTACG